TCCATGGTACTTTAGTGATAGGACACAATGTAGTTTCAGATGTGGTGGACAACTCTGGAGCAGTGGTCGAATTGACACTGGTTGCTGTAAATATGCTGGTGATCGTTTTTCACGACTGTTGTCGCCACTAGTGGCTATTTCAAACATTCATGAACTGATATGAAGATGTAAAGTAACACAGTTCTAGACAGTCGAAGTAGTAATAGTTCCCTGAGCTCAGTCAGTGGCAATTGATGTAGTACTCCTAGTCTTGAATAATAAAATCTTTTGTAAAGAACAACAGGAAGACTGCTGTTTATTCTAACCTGATTTTTGTAAGTGGATAACATGTTATTCGGTAGATTACACTCCATCCATGGTAGAATAACACTTCCTAAATATCCTGGGTTATCCTCGTAGATTACAATTTCCACCTGTGGTTTAATCAAACCTTTCCATTACTTGAAGATCTGGTAGAAATCACTTTCAACATCGAGGTGAGTACAGCCCTGAGGTAGATACAATGTCTTACCACAGGTTTGAAGATCTGGGTACAGATAAGACGCTTTCTATGTATCCTGGTTTAACTGTCTACCTGGGTTATCCTGGGTAGATAACCTTCCTACCCTGGGTGATCCTGGGTAGATAACCTCCTTACCCTGGGTGATCCTGGGTAGATAACCTTTCCTACCCTGGGTGAGCCTGGGTAGATAACCTTCCTTACCATGGGTGATCCTGGGTAGATAACCTTCCTACCCTGGGTGATCCTGGGTAGATAACCTTCCTTACCCTGGGTGATCCTGGGTAGATAACCTTTCCTACCCTGGGTGATCCTGGGTAGATAACTTCCTTACCCTGGTGATCATGGAGTAGAAACCATTCCTACCTGGTGATGCCTGGTAGATAACCTTCCCTACCCTGGGTGATCCTGCGTAGATAACTTTCACCTGGGTAGCCGGTAGTACACCTCCTTACCATGGTGATCTCGATAGATACACCATCTCCTAGCCCGGTGATCCTGGCTAGATAACCTTCCTTACCCTGGGTGATCCTGTGATAACCTTCCTTACCCTGGTAATCATCTGTAGCATACTTCATTAGCCAGGTGATCCTCGTAATATCAAGCCCATTACTCCATGTATAACCCAGTACATCAATCTTAGCCCAGTATACATTCATAGCCAGTGACATCAATCATAGCCAGTACATCAATCATAGCCCAGTACATCCAATCATCATAGCCCGTTAATCAATCATAGCCCAGTATACATCAATCATAGCCCAGTATATCATCAATCCATAGCCCAGTACATCAATCATCATAGTCCAGTACATCAATCATAGTCCAGTATATCAATCATCATAGCCCAGTACATCAATCATCATAGCCCAGTACATCAGTCTTAGCCCAGTATATCAATCATAGCCCAGTATATCAATCATAGCCCAGTACATCAATCATAGCCCAGTACATCAATCATCATAGCCCAGTACATCAATCATAGCCCAGTACATCAATCATCATAGCCCAGTACATCAATCATAGCCCAGTACATCAATCATAGCCCAGTACATCAATCATCATAGCCCTGTACATCAATCATAGCCCAGTATATCAATCATAGCCCAGTACATCAATCATCATAGCCCAGTACATCAATCATAGCCCAGTATATCAACCATCATAGCCCAGTACATCAATCATCATAGCCCAGTACATCAATCATCATAGCCCAGTACATCAATCATAGCCCAGTATCATCATACCCGTATCAATCATAGCCCAGTACATCAATCATAGCCCAGTACATCAATCATCATAGCCCTGTACATCAATCATAGCCCAGTATATCAATCATAGCCCAGTACATCAATCATCATAGCCCAGTACATCAATCATCATAGCCCAGTACATCAATCATAGCCTAGTACACAATCATCATAGTCCAGTACATCAATCATCTACAACACCCGTCACAGTCATACTACCACTATACATCATACCCGTGTACATACCCGTCACAGTCAACTACATATACCATACATCAACACTGTACAACCCGTCACAGTCAACTACCATATACACATCAACACTGGTACATCAACACCCGTCACAGTCAACCTACCGCTATACACATCAACACCTGGTACAACAACCCGTCATCATCAACTACCAACTATATCCACATCAACACTGGTACAACACCCGTCACAGTCAACTACCACTATACACATCAACACCTGGTACAACACCCGTCACAGTCAACTACCACTATACACATCAACACCTGGTACAACACCCGTCACAGTCAACTACCACTATACACATCAACACCTGGTACAACACCCGTCACAGTCAACTACCACTATACACATCAACACCTGGTACAACACCCGTCACAGTCAACTACCACTATATACATCAACACCTGGTAGCTGCTACACTCACAGGTGTTGGTCTTGGTGTTATTTACGTTAGCTAAGATTAAGTTATTTTCTTCTAATATATTATATTATGATTGTAACTATAATTATTATTGTTACTATATTATTATTAATACCTTCGCCAGATGTCTCCACATGACTAACACCTGCATCAGAAGCCAACATAGGACTAACACCTGCATCAGGAGTTACCATAGGATTAATACCTGCATCAGGAGTACCATAGGACTAACACCTGTGTCAGGAGTCACCATACAGTGGTTCCCAAACTGGGGGTAAATTACCCCCTGGGGGTAATTTAACCATTTTTGGGGGGTAATGGAGGGGTGACAGAAAAAAAGTTATGAATTCTGAAAATCAAGAAAACAATGCGGTACCCGGTATGAGGATTATTGTTAACTTTGTCTTAGTATATAAAGTTGTAAAGTAAACCTATTATAAGTAAGTAATAAAGTTAAACCAAATAACAATAAACATCAAAAACTAATATACAGTATTAGAAAAGAAGAAATATATAGCTAAGTGTGAGGAAACCCAAAAGTATTTTGACAAGTATGCTTCAGGACAAAAGTCACTTAGTAGCCCAGATCGACCTGTCCAGTACGCGTCACTCACTTCCTGAGGCTGCCTCTATTTCACACTGTCAGTTTATCTGTGAGCATCAGCCGAGGTAGACATAAGCTGGTATGTATGTGTACTGCCCTGTGCAGTATATAGTTAGTATTTACCCACTGTTACTGTGAATTTGTAGCTATTATTAATTTTATATATAATGTATGTGTGGTTCTTACGTTTTCAATGGTTTTGCTAGGATTAGCAGAGTATGCGAGGCTGTATACGTTCACGTTTAGCCATATATATCAATAATAACAACATTTTGTGAAAGGGGTAACATGCTTTATGTGGCATGTTAAATTGGGTAACAAGCTGAAAAAGTTTGAGGAACCACTGGACTAACACCTGTGTCAGGAGTCACCATATGCCTAACACCTGCATCAGGAGTCGAGTCAACATATGCAGATCAAAAACAGTCCCGCCGAGACAGACACTTCATAAAAACATAAGAAAGAAGGAACACTGCAGCAAGCCTACTGGCCCATGCGAGGCAGGTTCAATTCTCCCACCGACTTAAACCAATGCCTTAACCTAGTCAGGTCAGTCACATTCACTTAAGGGAGGAGCACGGTATCTGACCTAGTAGCACAAGCTAGTCAGGTCCAACTCATACTCACCCACACCCACTCATGTATTTATCCAACCTATTTTTAAAACTACACAACGTCTTAGCTTCTATGACGGTACTCGGGAGTTTGTTCCACTCATCCATAACTCAAGTTACCAAACCAGTGCTTTCCTATATCCTTCCTGAATCTGAATTTTTCCAGCTTAAAAACCATTGCTGTGAAAATCGCCCAAACAATCCTCAACAATGCCTCAAGAAAGGACAAAGCTCGATTCTTAGCGGTGAAGGCATCACATTCTGAAGATTTTCTTTTGGCCATCCCTCATCCCTCCTTGGGCATCCGCGTTCGATCCTCTAAGTCATTCGGATTGGTGTAGCTCTTCGCCTAGCCACCCCCATACTCACCAAATATAGGTGCATTTGAGGCAGGGCGTCAGCTGGTCAATTTGGGCTACATGGTCTCGTCTGTCATATATCGAAAGGGAAGTATGCCAGATACGAAGAGGTCAGTGACATCATCAAGCGAAGACACCACAGCTCGTTGTCCAGCAGAATGGGAATCTAAGGTACTGAGGTCTGACGGAACTGAGAAGGGTCCGAATGGAGTCACCATGCTACCCTAGAAAGATGGTAAGCAGATTGTATGGGACTACACCTGTGCCTCTATACTCCGATCCCAATAGGATCGGAGACTCTCGGAGAGTGGGGCAAGTGTGCTTTCAGATCCCTTAAAAAATGGGTAACAGTCTCATCACGGATACCTACGAAATTCAGAGTGACCAGCTTCCTTTCCCAGAGACTCAATGTTGCGATCTAGAGAGAAAATGCCTCCAGCAGTCTGGGTACACAACCTACCACCGGGAAGCTGGATGAAATATTTGATATAAAGACTGTGATGTCACATATCCTTCGAATAAAGTTCACAAACATAGCATATATAGAGTGGTAGAAGACAATACTTATATACTCAAACATCTCCGGGGAGAAATCGCCTGAGTTTTCCTTGTTTATTTTCTTCTCTGAGGCTGTGTCTCCCCAGTCAGGTGTAGAGGTGGTATCTCCCTATATGTATATATAAATAACTTATATATACCATGAACAAGCATATGTGTAGGTGTCGTTAATAGGGAAAGCTCTTAAAAGGTATAGTTTTGGAGATAATTGAAATTGAGGGGAAAAATGTAAGGTTCTGCCTGAAAGGCGTCGCTTGTTAGGGTTACTAAAATATGTGTCTAGGATTTTCCTTGTTTGACTTCCTCTAGGAGCCCCAGAGCTAGACTAAAAGTGAAACACTGTTACAATATTGGCATGTTACATGTGTGTTTGTCGTCATTCATGTCAACAGTACGCCCTTCAACCAGTCTCTCAAGTACATTTTTTTCTTCCATTACAGTTGTTGGCGATTATGGTGGTGTACGTCATGCTGGGTCTGGCTGTGACCCTGCCCAGCCCTGAGCCTTCACCAGAGCCTCAGTTCCCAGGCTTCGGAGGAGGTGGTTTCAACGGCGGTGGCTTCGGATTCCCTGGCCGTAATTTCAGACGCCGTGGCTTCCGTCGTTTGAACGACCCCTTCTTTGATATCTTCGGCACTACTTTTCTGGGTCAAAACTTTGCTTTCTTCGACAATGATAGAGTGAATCGTCGTTTTCCTTTTGGTGGTGGGTTCCGTTCCCCCGTGGGCTCTGGGTTCCGTTCTGGTGGCTCTGGGTTTCGTTCTGGAGGCTCTGGGTTCCGTTCTGGTGGTGGGTTCCGTCCTCTTGGTAGTGGAATCCTTGCTCCTGTGGGTGCTGGGCGTCGAACTTCCGTTGGCTCTGGAATCCGGTCCCCTACTGGTGGTGGACGCCGTCCTATTATTGGTACCGGAAGCCGCGGCTCTATTGGAGCTGGGAGAGGATCCTTTGGTGGTGGGAGAGGTACCTCCATTGGTGCTGGTAGAGGTACTTCCATTGGTGCTGGCAGAGGTGCATCTGTCGGTGCTGGTATCAGAGGTCCTATTGGTGGCGGAGCCCGTGGCTAACCTCACATTCTCAATTGATTAATCAAGCAAAGAAGAGAAGACCAATCTAGTTGTTCAGGCTAGATGTTCCTCAACTGCAGTCTAGTCACTAATTTACAATGGTTAGGTTTTAATAATTTGTTAATATGTAAAATAATATATTAAACGTTTATAATAAAACTAATCCAATGCTTGTAGCTTAATTATACCTTGTATATATGTTACAAAGGTACCAAAATATATATTTTTGAGAACATTACATTTGCTTAAGCTAATCATTAGTAGTGCAATAAAATAAATAAATATAATTATAACCTTAATTTTTAAAGGGGTGGACCGGTAAGCCAGTGGAAGGCCTCGGTCAGATGACCAAAAGCTCCAGTGGCAGATCATCATGTAACTAAGATCCGCGTCAGGAAACACTGGCCCTGTTTCCTGACCAGTCTTACCTAACCTAACCTAAACCTTTGTAGTATAAAAGTGACACAAGACAGGTCATCGGACATGTTACTCGTCCAGAAATGTTCTTTCTTCTAGGCTACAGTACTATTCTAATAATGAGAGGGTAACACTAAACCCACAATAGCTATGTTATTAACCTTGGTAATATATACCGACAAATTGGCTTAGTAAGACACGTAAACAAACACCAGGACATATTTATTAGAAAACATTCTGGCCCTAGGACCTTGATCACTTATAATTATTAATAAGCGCATGAGAAATATAAAGCAATCGGGTTCAATCCAAGAAAGGGGAAGAGGGCCGCCGCTTACTTGTCTCGAGAGCCCCTCACACCAGCCTCAATTCTGCTACTTGACGAGTGGATCCCTTCAGCAGGGTATTCTAGGTCAAATCCTGGCTTGCACAAGTTATAAATGGTCTGGTGATAACGACACACTACGGGAAAGGACACTTGTGCACAGTCCAGGACATATATAAAAGAAACCTCTCGTCATGAGAGGCTTCGTCAGTCCTGATGAAGCTTCCGTTCTTTTGATTCGCCGGAAGCTCGCTCCCAGCACGGGTCTTCTCCAGTCGGTGACTTGTCACTCGTGGCGAAACGTTTCTTGTTCATCAATGTCCTTAACTATACAAAAATGCCTCTTCCCACACATGACTAGCATCAGATATACTACAACGTCATTTCTTCCTGCACCTCCGGAACATCAGTGACGTAGCAAAGCCTGGAAGCTAAATTAATGCAAACACTGTAGCAACTTGTACGTTTCCCCTCCCCCGTGATGCCAGCCACAACTTTCGATTAACGCCCAGGTACTTACTGTTAGGTGAACAGGGGCAACATGCATTAGTTAACAGTCAGGTACCTATTTACTCCTAGGTGAAAAAGGGCTATAGTTGTAAGGTAGTTAACATCCAGGTACCTACGTACAGCTAGATGAAAGGGAGCATCAGGTATAAGGTAGCTAGCACCCTATATCTTCTTACTGATAATTGAACTGGGCTCCCCTTGTTCACCGCTAGGTGAACAAGGGCAATAGCTATAAGGAAACATGTAGAACGTCTTCACCCACCCCAGGATCGAACCTGGGTCCTTCGTTTAAAATCACATAAGCTAGCTCTTAAGTTCCATCACGGATTGCTAATTAATATCCCGTATGTGTCCGGTTCTTAAGATAATTATTCTACACACATTGATAACCCAGACACAGAATCAGTTTGCTACCAACCTGAATTAATTTCTTCCCGGAAGGAGCGTTGTGGCTTGTTTGTACAATACTTCTTTTAGGAGAGAGAACGACCAAAGTCATCTTTCATTAATTTTCATAGTTGGGTTTAGCACAACAGAGGTCATCCTGAAGCACTTGAGCAACTCTGGTGTTAAAATAGGCTTTTGACATTGATGAAAGATCCCAAGGCAGTTGAAGGAGGTAGTATTGGATCCAAGTAGCTTAGTCTCGAGGCAGATGTCAGGGCTTGAAAACACTCGAACATATTTTTAGAGACAAAGAGGAACTCGATATGTGATGGATCCTGTTGCGTCAGGTCAGGGCCCTGGTATCACATCTGTTTCGGTCAACTACAGTGTAGTCACAAGTGGTACCAGCGCTTCTTTTCAGCTAGGTAATCCACAGGATTGAGTATATGTACCCTTCAGCTCGGCACTCCTGGAGTTCACCACGAAGTTTTACACTCCAACTAGATAATCCACGGGGTGGAATACTTAGCATTGTACTTGTCATGAACTAATACCCTCAGCGCAGGCCTCGCCCTGAGGCCCTGGAGTATACCTGGAGAGAGTTTCGGGGGTCAACGCCCCCGCGGCTCGGTCTGAGACCAGGCCTCGTGGTGGATCAGGGTCTGATCAACCAGGCTGTTACTACTGGCCGTACGCAAACTGACGTACGAACCACAGCCCGGCTAGTTAGGTACTGACTAGGTGCCTGTCCAGCGCCTTCTTGAAAACAGCCAAGGGTCTATTGGTAATCAGCCTTATGTATGCTGGGAGGCAGATGAACAGCCTTGGGTCCCTGACACTTATTGTGTTGTCTCTCTGTGTACTCGTGGCACCCCTGCTTTTCATTGGGAGAATGCTGCATCTCCTGCTGAGCCTTTGCTTTCACAGGGAGTGATTTTCATGTGCAAGATTGGTACCAATCCCTCTGTATATTATCATGTATCTCTCTCGCCTGCGTTCCAGGGAATACAAATCAAGGGACTTGAACCGTTCCCAGTAATTTAGGGGCCTCATCGTACTTATGTGTGCCGTGAAAGTTCTTTGTACACTCTCCAGGTCAACAATTTCGCCTGCCTTGAAGGGGGGGCAGTTAGTGTACAGCAGTATTCCTGCCTAGAGAGAACAAGCGATTTGAAGAGAATCATCATGGGCTTGGCATCCCTAGTTTTGAAGGTTCTCGTTATCCATCCTATCATTTTCCTAGCAGATGCAGTAGATACATTGTTGTGGTCTTTGAAGGTGAGATCTTGACATTATCACTCCCAGGACCTTCACATTACTTTTTCACTCTACTGTATTGTTAGAATTTGTCGTACACCCTGATACAGTTTTAATTTCCTCAAGTTTTCCATATCTAAGTAGTTGAAATTTCTCTTCGTTAAACTTATATTGTTTTGAGTGTCCCATTTGAAGATTTGGTTGATGTCCGCTTGACTTGTATACAACCACAATGACAGGGTTTTGTTTTTTCAATCTTTACCGCCAAAACTTCAACTACATCATTTGAGGTGTTTAGTTCTGAGCAAATGAGCGACTCTGTGACATACAAGCCAACCTCCCCTTGTTGCCTGTTTAGTCTGTCGCATCTGAATAGGTTATAACCTGGGATCCATATTTCGCTTCAAAAAATGTTTCCTTTAAATTGGATTTTCCCTTTCAACATAGGCCTCGCCCCCTGAGAACCTCATAAGGGCCCCCGCCCTGAGGCCCCAGCGTAGGCCTCGCTCTGAGAACCTCAGTAAAGGGCCCCGCCCTAAGCCCCATTGTGGGCCCGGCCCCCTTGGGGACCTCACGAGGCCTCGTCGAAGCCCTCAGCTATGGGGGTTTTGTTTATGCCTCTAACCAGACACTATTATACACGGGTTTTTTAATTGAAGCTTGTGAACAGCATTTACAAAATTTTTAATTCATGATGTTGCGGGGACTACCCTGTAAGATCTACGAAAAAAAACCCGTTTTTAATTGTAAAAAACCTTTTTATGTCAAAATATATCAAAATATATTGGGGTATTTTTGGGCCTACCGTCATATTTTAAACTTTTAAACGCTTTGTACACAAAAACCCTTCCCCCAAGTGGGCGCAAAAAAATCTATGAAAAAAATTTTTTTTTTTATTAACACATCACTTTTTCCCCCTAAGGCAGGGTGACCCGAAAAAAAAAAAAAAACACTTTCATCATTTTTTCACTCCATCACTGTTCCCCGCCCCAAAGGGGCGCCTACACAAAATTAAAAAAAAAACTGCAACTATCCCAAAAACCCGTCCTTCAGAAAAGCAGGGACTTTATTTCCCACCTCTAGGGCTCAAACCCTGAATCTCTCCATAAATGTTACTTTCCTCACACTCCAACATTAAAAACAAACCAAAAAACACATTTGCCCCCCACCCCCGCTCCTAACAACCCCAAACACGCCGATAGAAGTCCAAACCCCCCGTATCAAAATCTCCCTTTTCCCAAAAAAAAAATATAAAAAATAAAAAACAAACCTCATGAACTGGGAAATAAAAACCCGGGGGCCCGGGGGATGAAAAAAAACACACATCACTCACAAAAGTTCGGGAGAAACCCGGGGGGTGATGTCAGACTTTTATGTTCAGGGGGAGAGAAATGCATCTTCCATCCGCAAGCCCAAAATGATAGGTTTGGGTTTAAATAGAACTTTTTTAAAACGAGATTTCTAAACAGTGATAAACTTTTCAGTCCAAATCGTTCTCTACGGGTTTGGAAAAATTGCTGTGTAAAAAAACTGCACCCTTTTTAAGGCCAAAGGGTAAATTGCAAAACAGGAAAAAGTGGGAGCGAAAACCCTTTAACCCGCTATTTTTTACTGGGAAACGATTTTTACAAATAATTGAAAAGGTAACCCCACTCTTCAAAACCCCCCCCCCTTTAAACATAAGATTACCAACAAAGCCCCTTTGCTGTCCTTTAATAGGGAACCGAAAAAAAAACCTCAAGTCACTTTTTTTTATCAGTCGGGTTTTTCTGCGGGGAAACCCAAAACCTGATCGATCAGTGAGCAACCATAGGCCCCGGCTTGGGGGGAAAAGTAGCCAAACCCGTAAGGGCCCGGTCTGGGAAACCCCGCAGCCCAAACCTTTGGGGCCCGGTCGAGATCAGTGTAAACAAAACCAAATGGCCTGGCTGGGGTTATTTCAAAAACCCATAGGCCTGATCTGGGAAACAGTGCAGCAAAAACCCGTAGGCCTGGTCTTTGGGGTCAGTGCCCGCCAAACCCTAGGGCCCGGTCTGAAAATCAGTTTTAACAACCAGTAAGGGGCCCGGTCCTGGGATCAGTGTAGGGAAAACCCTAGGCCTGGGGCTTGGGGTTTAGTGTAGCAACCAGTAGGCCCGGTCGGGATCATTTTAGCAACAAGTAGGCCCCGGGTCTGGGATCAGTGTACAACCAGTAGGCCGGGTCTGGGATCATGTAGACAACCAATGGCCGGGTCGGGACAGTGTACCCCAACCATAGGCCGGGGCTGGGATCAGTGAGCAACCCTGGGCCGGGGTCTGGGATCATGTAGCAACCATTAGGCCGGGTCTGGGATCAGTGAAAAACCAGTGGGCCGGGGGTCTGGGTTCAGTGCAGCAAACCAAGGCCTGGTCTGGGACCCCAGTGTAGAAACCATGGGCGGTCGGGGATCAGTGAAAACAACCAGTAGGCCCGGGGGCGGTCATGAAGAAACCCAGTGGGCCCGGTCTGGGATCAGTGTAGCAACCAGTAGGCCTGGTCTGGGATCAGGGGAAAGCAACCAGTAGGCCGGCGGGATCATGTAGAAACCCCGTAGGCCGGGGGGTCTGGGATCAGGAGAAACCAGTAGGGCCGGCGGGGGATCAGTTTTTAGCAACCGTAGGGGGTCTAAATAAAGTGTAGCAACCCATGGGCCGGGTCTGGGATCAGCGTACCCTGGGCCGGGTCGGGACAGTAGAACCCCCATAGGCCGGTCTGGATCATGTAGCAACCAGTGGGCCCGGGGCCCTGGGATCAGTGTGAAACCATAGGGCCGGGCGGGATCAGGTGCCCTCCTGGGATCATGTAGCAACAAAGAGGCCCCCGGCCGGGAAATCAGTGAAAACCATAGGCCGGTCGGAAAATCAGTGTGCAACCAGAGGCCTGGTCCTGGGATAAAGGTGAAACCATTGCCTGTCTGGGCTTGTAGCAACCAGGGGCCCCTGGTCGGGGATCAGTGTAGCAACCATGGGGCCGGGGGTCGGGATCAGTGAGAAACCAGTGGGCCCGGGGTCGGGGATCAGTGTAGAAACCAGTAGGCCCGGGTCCTGGACAGTGACAACCAGTAGGCCGGGCCCGGGGATCAGACCAGGGAAAGCAGTGACCCCCCGGGGAAGGAGTCAAGAAACCTACACATCGAGGATAAACCCAAGTTTCCGCCAATCCCAAACAAATGCGAAACTTAATGCTTTTTTTTTGTAAAAGATCATGAAATTTTAAATTTTGCCATTTGTTTAAGTGACCATCTGTTAAAATTGCCATCGTGTTAAGTGACTATCTTTAAATTCCATCGTGTTAATGCCCATCTGTTAAATTCCATCTGTGTTAAGGAACCATCTGTTAATTGCCATCTGTTTTTAAGTGACCATCTTTAAATTGCCATCTGTGTTAAGTGACCATCTGTTAAATTGCCATCTGTGTTAAGTGACCATCTGTTAAATTGCCATCTGTGTTAAGTGACCATCTGTTAAATTGCCATCTGTGTTAAGTGACCATCTGTTAAATTGCCATCTTGTTAATACCATCTGAAATTGCCATCTGTTTAGTGACCATCTTTTTAAATTTGCCATTGTTTTAAATGACCATTTTAAATTGCCATCTTGTTAAGTGACCACTGTTAAATCCATCTGTGTTAAGTGACCATTATTAAATTCCCACTGTGTTAAGTGACATCTGTTAAATTGCCATCTGTGTTAAGACCCATCTTTTAAAATTGCCACTGTTTTAAGTGACCTTTGTTAAATTGCCATCGTGTTAAGTGACCATCGTTAATTGCCATTGTTTTAAGTGACCATCTGTTTGAAAGCTTCAACAGGGCAAAACAAAACCCCAATAGATAAAACCCAATTTACACTATCATTTAAAGAATTTAGACTCCAATTTTTATCATTAAAATTTTAAACATATACCGTAGGTGAGGAATTACACACGTGCATCCCCTTGGATATTTATTTTAAATTATTCCCAGGTGTTGCGCCATTAGTTTAATATCTATTATGCACCCCATAGCGACCCTAGTAAAAAGATTACGGTGTGTTGAATAAGATTTCGTTCGGATTTTTAACCCCGGAGGGTTAGCCACCCAGGATAACCCCAAAAATCAGGGGTCATCGAGGGTTGTCAACTTTTTCCATTGGGGTCCTTAATCTTGTCCCCCAGGATGCGACCCACACCAGTCGACTAACACCCAGGTACCTATTTGCTGCTAGGTGAACAGGACAACAGGTGTAAGGAAACGTGTCGGAATGTTTCCACCCGCCGGGAATTGAACCCGGGCCCTCCGTGTGTGAAGCGGGAGCTTTAGCCACCAGGCCACCTCACTCCAGTGCTACTTCAGAGCAATAGTAATAACAATGACTTCCCATGTAAACACACTGTATTGGGATTTTTTTGTGAACTGCCGCCTAAACTGCAGCTGATTTAGCTAAAACTGTTGACACAGACATCCCGAGATATTAACTCAGTCACGCCAGTGGCTCATACCTGGAGACAGTTCCGGGGGTCAACGCCCCCGCGGCCCGGTCTGTGACCAGGCCTCATGGTGGATTAGGGCCTGATCAACCAGGCTATTACTGCTGGAATTTATGTAATACCTAACTGTACAAAGCAAGTCAACTTACTTGAATGAAGTAGAGCTACACTTCCATACTCTCAGTAATGACGAACTTGGGTGTTGTACATCCACCAAAATCTTCCAGCAAAAGTTCTCAACCCACGCTTCAGCAGAAAGACTGGCCAATGATGCTGACAGAAACGTAGATCCAGTTCGCTGGGGCTTGTCATGATACTAGTAGGTATCCTCGGTGTTTGAGGAAGCTTCGTTGTTCTAGTTCCTCTACACAAGCAAGTTATGCCGGTTTCCTGGCTACTAAATTAACACACATGAACCCGGTGACTTGTGAATCGTAACTAAATAATTAACGTCTCCTAAGTGATTTTGTTCGAATTTGAAACGCTGGCTAACTATCTAATACTATTATATTTGACCTTTTCTTAACTATTTTAGGTCCTAAAACTGTATTAATATTTCCTAAGTTTATTTTCTACTTTGTGTAACTACGTAAATCTTCTTAGAAAGATAATTATTATGTACAAATGTTATGTAAGTGGGTATGTTAAGGGCTCCTAAAGCTTATACATTATAAACGTTTTGTGGAATATTTTGGTAGTCCAAATAATTTCAATATTCTGGCTGTCACATCCAGCACAAACCGGGATTCATCCGTGATTCTATCTACCCTTGTCCCTGGGCTGGAGCTCAAGACCGTCTCCTAGACGTTGCCATGAAACGTCTGAAAATTGGACGCAGTCAGCCACAGCACTTCTCTTCCGGCTGTCCTTGATATCCTGTGCAAGAGCAAGACTTTCTCCCTTATCGTCCTCGGGTTTACCCTGTCCACACCAGACTCTGAGAACTTGGCCCCAGACGGTGACGTCCATGTACGACGTGTTACGTATTGTTTCCTTTACCCCTCAGGCAGGCTGGGGCAACATCGAAGTTACCGTCCAGACACCAGACTTCTGGAAACAAGTTGGGCAGTATTTATTCTACCGTCCAGACACCAGACTTCTGGAAACAAGTTGGGCAGTATTTATTCTACCGTCCAGACACCAGACTTTTGGAAACAAGTTGGGCAGTATTTATTCTACCGTCCAGACACCAGAATTTAGTCATACACCGGAAACATCACTTAGTTGTTTCTTTAACAATAAAAATAAACTCAGGTCATGATCACAATGGAAAAATGTACTTGATACTTCGTGTATTATTATTATTAAGTATTATGTTTGTCAGGGAACAGGAAGAGTGTTTCTTAAAGTGAGTCTTAGTTGTATGATGACCCACAGCTGGAGCTTGTGGTCATCTGGCCGAGACCTTCCACTGGCTTACCATTCCACCATTCTTGAAGTTATTGTGATTATAACCAATTATTATATTATTATTATTAGTGGTAGCAGTAATATTTTTATTGTTATTATTATCCTTAGAAGTGGTCGTAATTCTACTATTATTATTATTGCTATATAAAGCGGTAAACCCCTGCGGGTTATTAAGCACAAGTAATGCTGTGTTAAAACTTTCACAAACTGACGTTGAAGTGTAGAAAAATAATCTATAATAATAACATTATAATGAATAAAATGGATGAAAAAGTTTTATTCTGAGAGCCAAAAAAAAAATAAAAACCCAAGCTAACCTAACTTAAAATTTAACTAATAATTTCGGTTAATATGTTATATTGACTCGTTATTTTTTGGTTACCGGGGCAAAACAAACTTTTTTTTCCATGGGTCCACAAAATAACCGTCCACACTGCCCAGTACACTGAAAATTGAAGAATTTAATAACCAATCACTGGGCTCAAAACAAAGGACTTCTAAATAACAAAAAGGCACAATACCGTGACTGGAACGATACACAAATAACCCGCATATAAAAGAGAGAAGCTTACGACGACGTTTCGGTCCGACTTGGACCATTGACAAAGTCACACTAACAGAGGTGGAGCTATATATAGCCGTCCTGCTCCACCTCTGTTAGTGTGACTTTGTCAATGGTCCAAGTCGGACCGAAACGTCGTCGTAAGCTTCTTTCTTTTATATGCGGGTTATTTGTGTAAAGGACTTCTTCTCTTTATTAGCCTATTATTTTTATTATACATACATTATTTTATATTTGGAAGAGCGTTTAAGGCAGTGAATGAAACAACTCTGCAGTGATATTAATTCATATATTTCATCATATACAAAACAGTAACTTGTGCCACAATAACGTAAATATATTAACAGTTTTTAAAGTGGTGGACTGGTAAGCCAGTGGAAGGCCTCGGTCAGATGACTAAGAACTCCAGTGGTGGATCATCATCTAAGACCCGCGTCAGGAACACTTGTCATGTTTTCTGACCAGGATAACCCTAAGAAAGTCAGTGCGTCATCGAGGAGTCTAACTCAATTCCATTTGGGTCCTCAAATCTTGTCCCCCAGGATGCGACCTTCACTAGTCGACTAACACCCAGGTACCTATTTGCTCCTAGGTGAACAAGACAACAGGTGCAAGGAAACACATCGAAATTTTTCCACCCGCCGGGAATCGAACCCGGGCCCGCGGTGTGTGAAGTGAGAGCTTTAGCCACCAGGCCACCAATGTCTACATAGGTCTAGAACACAATGGTAGTGATGTATTTACATGAAAACATAAGAATGGAGACACTGCAGCAAGCCTTCTCAAAACCAACCATTCCCAAGTTTATATATGTTCTTGATTTAAGGAATCACAAGTTACCCTCATCTCTTCTACTTAACACATGTTACTATTTGTTTTTTTTCACCAGGCTCTGTATGATCATAAGGGTCAGTGTTTTACATATGAATATTATAATATTGCAGAGGAAGGTGTATGTAGTCACTGTCTATAACAGTAGTATATATCAGAGGTATATAATACCGAGAAGATGATGTATTAGACGTATATGTAACATATGGGTATTTTTATTCTGTAGACTTTTCGCCAACCAGTGACTTCATCTGTGCAATACAGAAGACTGAAGAGGTAGAAGGTAATTAGTCCCTCAGTCAAGGAGCAGGTGTTCAGTACTGTAGTCTTGCTACCAGTGGTTCAGATTTATCAAGACTGCGGTACTGAACATTAATAAAGCCACTGGTTGGCGACACGTCTACAAAACAGTTACCCAGATGTTGTACATAAGTCTAATTCATAATCTCCTAGAAGTGTTTGTCTTAGTGGGGACTCTAATACTAGTAGCGTTTGTTTTAGTTATACTAGTAGTGTGCGGATGCTATTACTAGTGGTGTTGGGGCACTAGTAGTATTTGGTTCACTTATACTAGTGGTGTGTAGGGGAACTATTTTTAACTAATGACTGAGGCACGAACAAAGTCAACAGGGACAACACTGCCCAGTCCAACAGAATGTCCCGCTGGTCTGCCGAACTGGTTACCCTGGCTACCAAAACGCTCATGACTACCAAGTCTGCCATGGCTCGCAAGGTTACCATGGCTACCAAAGTTGCCATGGCTACCCAAGTTACTGTGGCTACCATGAGCACCAACACTTCCATGGCGTCTAAAGTTGTCATGGCTACCAAAGTTGCTGTGGCTGTCATGGATACCATGGCTACCAAGGCCACCAATACTTCCATGGCTGCCATGGCGTCTAAAGTTACCATGGCTACCAAAGTTGCTGTGTCTGCCATGGTTACCATGGCTACCATGACCACCAATACTGCCATGGCTCCCATGATTCCCAAGACTCCCTAGACTGCCACGCCCACCAAGGTTGCCATGGCTACCAAGATTACCATGACTACCAAACCGACCACCAGGCCTACCAAACTGGCCACCATGACCGATACTGAGGCCACTGTTGTGATGGTGAACGTGTCCTTGTCCTTGTAAGCGTGTAGCCACGAGGTCAGGCGTAGCCAATGGGGCAGGTGTAGCCAATGGGGTAGGGGTAGACACAGGGTTAGCAGTAACTATGGGTTCAGCTAGTGCCTGGACCACCCCTAACACGGCGCACAACAACAATAGCTGGAAGTAAAAATAACATTAGAACTAATACAAACGTAAGGTATTGCAATAAATGAGACTGACGAGAACCACACACTCAGGGGGTTAAAGTTGTTCCATGTTAATAGAAACAACGGTAAGAGAGTGGAGTTGCGCTGTATATTCGAGACAACGGGAAGTTTTGCATAAAAATAAATAAAAACTCGAAAAGACACGGAATCTGTCTGGGGAGAAGTTTTAAAAGGAACTGAAAATTTATTTTCAGGTGTGATATACCGACCTTTAAATTTCTCTAATGCGAAATTATTAAGGCTTCTAGACATAATGTTGTAATAGTATGAGATTTTTAACTTTAGTCAAATTGACTGGCCTTCTTTAACCTGTAATTTGAGTCAGTTGACTTCATAGATGTAATTCAAGACTGCTTTTTGAAGCAGTTTGTAATACAACCAACCCGAGGCAATAATCTGCTTGATCTAATTTTGTCAGAAAACCCACGTAATTATCTGGAGATCATTGAAGAGCTTAGTGCAAGTGATTACAAGTCTGTTACTTTTAAAATTGCCTGGGAATACGAGAATAAGGATAATACAGTACAGGTCCCTGTTTTTCGTAGTTGATTATAATGGACTTAGGGAATAGCTGTCTCTTCTAGATTCGCCGGTACTGCCCCGGTCGGGGTCTTTTCCAGATGGTGCCCCGACCTTGTTTAGAAAGGATGTGAGAAAGTACTGGTTTGGAAATATAGTAGTCGAAGAGTGGAACAGTCCGTCTAGCAGGGTCAGTGAAGCTAAAACCTTGGGTAGCTTAAAAAATAGGTTGGATGCATACATGAGTGAGAGGGGGTTGGATTTTAGTGGGACTTGCACAATATGTCTATGGAGCATCCAACAAAATAAGTGGACTCTTGGATGTTGCTGGTGCCAGACTCCGGTTGGGTTACCAGTATCTCTGGGAGGTTAAATAACCACCACCAGATGATGTAGACCAAACTAAATCTAAACTTTGTCAGATGGACAATTTTCACACCTTGCGCCATTATGTGCTGGAATGCTATAAAATTAATGAATTCAGAGACAGCTTAGAAATGTTCAAGAAATGTCAGATCATTTTATCCACAATGGCCTATTACCAGCCATTCTAGAAAAATACCCTAACTTTACACATTGTAAATAACACATAACCCACTTTTTTCAAGCATACCTTGCTAAAATATGTTGTGTGTGCGTACTCACCTAGTTGTGGTTGCAGGGTCAAGTGATAGCTCCTGGCCCCGCCTCTTCACTGATCGCTACTAGGTCACTCTCCCTGAACCGTGAGCTTTATCATACCTCTGCTTAAAGCTATGTATGGATCCTGCCTCCACTACATCTCTTCCCAAACTATTCCACTTACTGGCTACTCTGTGGCTGAAGAAATACTTCCTAACATCCCTGTGATTCATCTGTGTCTTCAACTTCCAACTGTGTCCCCTTGTTACTGTGTCCAATCTCTGGAACATCCTGTCTTTGTCCACCTTGTCAATTCCTCTCAGTATTTTGTATGTCGTTATCATGTCCCAGCTATCTCTCTTGTCCTCCAGTGTCGTCAGGTTGACTTTCCTTAACCTCTCCTCGTAGGACATACCTCTTAGCTCTGGGACTAGTCTTGTTGCAAACCTTTGCACTTTCTCTAGTTTCTTTATGTGCTTGGCTAGGTGTGGGTTCCAAACTGGTGCCGCATACTCCAATATGGGCCTAACGTACACGGTGAACAGGGTCCTGAACGATTCCTTATTAAGATGTCAGAATGCTGTTCTGAGGTTTGCCAGGCGCCCATATGCTGCAGCAGTTATTTGGTTGATGTGCGCTTCAGATGTGTCTGGTGTTGTGTGTGTGTGTGTGTGTGTGTGTAACCTAATTCACATCCGCATAAATAACTCATTGCGATTGTAACCAGATATAAATATGTAAATTGATCATTACTACTGTAACCTGTGTAGTCTGCGGCCCCAGTCCCTGGACCCATTATCTGCCAAAGATGGGTATGGGGGACATAATAAAAACATTAAACTAACCCTCCAAACACGTATTTCTCAACACTAATACACTAGCAGAATGGACAATTTAAGAACGCCTGTGTTTTACACCGAAATTCCCACAAGCATTTAAGTAGAGTCGCAATGTTCATTGGCATGGAAGAAGACACTTTGAGTCGCACCAATCATCAATCATCACTCATCTGTATATCCAACAAAAAAAATGGATAATTATTAAATGGTTATAACTATGACCATAATTTTTAAAGGGGTGAACCGGTAAGCTAGCGGAAGACTTCGGTCAGATAACCAAAAGCTCGAACGGTGGGTCATCATCCGACTAAGACCCGCGTAAGGAAAATGTTTTCTGACGAACCTTACCTAACCTAACCTGTATGTCCAACAATTTTAACATACATGGTTTTACAACATACCTGGAGTTTACCTGGAGAGTTCCGGGGGTCAACGCCCCCGCGGCCCGGTCTGTGACCAGGCCTCCTGGTGGATCAGAGCCTGATCAACCAGGCTGTTGCTGCTGGCTGCACGCAAACCAACGTACGAGCCACAGCCCGGCTGGTCAGGAACCGACTTTAGGTGCTTGTCCAGTGCCAGCTTGAAGACTGCCAGGGGTCTGTTGGTAATCCCCCTTATGTGTGCTGGGAGACAGTTGAACAGTCTCGGGCCCCTGACACTTATTGCATGGTCTCTTAACGTGCTAGTGACACCCCTGCTTTTCATTGGGGGAATGTTGCATCGTCTGCCAAGTCTTTTGCTTTCGTAGTGAGTGATTTTCGTGTGCAAGTTCGGTACTAGTCCCTCTAGGATTTTCCAGGTGTATATAATCATGTATCTCTCCCGCCTGCGTTCCAGGGAATACAGGTTCAGGAACCTCAAGCGCTCCCAGTAATTGAGGTGTTTTATCTCCGTTATGCGCGCCGTGAAGGTTCTCTGTACATTTTCTAGGTCAGCAATTTCACCTGCCTGAAAGGTGGTGTTAGTGTGCAGCAATATTCCAGCCTAGATAGAACAAGTGACCTGAAGAGTGTCATCATGGGCTTGGCCTCCCTAGTTTTGAAGGTTCTCATTATCCATCCTGTCATTTTTCTAGCAGATGCGATTGATACAATGTTATGGTCCTTGAAGGTGAGATCCTCCAACATGATCACTCCCAGGTCTTTGACGTTGGTGTTTCGTTCTATTTTGTGGCTAAAATTTGTTTTGTACTCTGATGAAGATTTAATTTCCTCGTGTTTACCATATCTGAGTAATTGAAATTTCTCATCGTTGAACTTCATATTGTTTTCTGCAGCCCACTGAAAGATTTGGTTGATGTCCGCCTGGAGCCTTGCAGTGTCTGCAATGGAAGACACTGTCATGCAGATTCGGGTGTCATCTGCAAAGGAAGACACGGTGCTGTGGCTGACATCCTTGTCTATGTCGGATATGAGGATGAGGAACAAGATGGGAGCGAGTACTGTGCCTTGTGGAACAGAGCTTTTCACCGTAGCTGCCTCGGACTTTACTCTGTCGACGACTACTCTCTGTGTTCTGTAAGTGAGGAAATTATAGATCCATCGACCGACTTTTCCTGTTATTCCTTTAGCACGCATTTTGTGCGCTGAAACTCTTGCTAGGACACTTCTCCATCGTAATCCCACACAGAAACAAACCTACTGACCAAGGTCTGGTCACAATCATAACAAGTTACAAAGGTATTTACAGATTACAGAGGTACGTAATGGGTCCAGGGACTGGGCTCCCAAAGTTTTGGTAGCTGAACTAGGTACAAAGGTAATGAACTCACGAGTTACCTTTGTAACTTGTAACTTCATTACCTTTGTAAATTGTGAGTTCATTTCCTTTGTAATTCTGAGTTCATAACCTCTGTAACTTGCTCAGCTATCAAAATTTTGGAGTCCAGTCCCTGGACCCATTATCTTTTGACTACCGCCCACAGGATGGGTATGGGCTGCATAATAAACATATTAAACTAACTAACCCATGCTGGGCAGGTCTTCCTCAAATCCAACTTCAACTTAACATTCCTCACCTGACCCTTCATGCCACTATGTACCCTATATATGCTCACGTACTCTCTGCTCAATGTAGGTCTGATGGTGACCTGATAAAGCCCACTGTGTTAGAGAAGCATTATCAAAAAACGATTGCATTATACTACATTTATGTCTACTTTTCCATCCTGTGTGATGCTAGTCAGGAAAAACATCCTTCACGATGAAGTACGACAGGGAAAACATCCTGCTACCTCTGTTCACCTTGCAGTAAGTAGGTACCTAGGTGTTAGTCGACTGTTGTGGGTCGCATCCTGGGAACAAGATTAATCTATGTTGCCCGAAATGCTCTACATAACCAGAGACTTCGTATATAGTATGACAATGATGTCAGCTAAGTCATTATTAGTTGTATCATGTACTTGTAGAAATGAAGATGATGTAGTAGATGTTGTTTAAACTTAATCACCCAGCTTGGCTTTGTGTCAAGAAGCTAACATTGAACTTTCACCGAACAGAAACACGCAGCCCTGGCGTGTTCCCAGACCTATCTTGCTACCGTCACAAAGCCAGAGTTCGCGTGAAGGTCAACGTGTGGGGCAAGTTAGACAGCCGTTGCGTGCCCACAAGCCTGACTTGTTACTGGTGTGAAGGTCAGCGTGTAGGGCAGGTTCTGAGACCAGCTCACACCAGATACCAAGACTACCTTCTGAGTGGACATGCTCGTGCCTCACCCTACCCAGGGTACACTCGCTACACTCTTAAGGGGCACCTAAGTCTTCCAATGATATGCTCATTTTTCTACTATAATCTACCTTGTCCATAATTACTATAGCATTTGCTTTGTTTCGTGAGGTGAAGTCTAGGATCTTTCCTTAATTGATGGTATAACTTAATAAATCTTTGATAATTATGTTGCTCAGATCTCTACAACAACAATTGTCATCAAAGATTTGTAAAGTTATACCATGAATTAAGGAAAGATCCTGGACTTCACCTTACGAAACAGACAAAGCAAATGTGATAGTAATTATGTGTGGAAAATTGCATTTATCTGAATGTAACTCATTATGTACATAACAGTAAATGATAACAAAGATAATTATTATTTATCAGAGTTACATAGACAAGTAGGAATTTGGGATACCTAGGTCGCAAAAAATGTCCCCCTTCGATACCTACCACTGTCATATCCACAAGTTGCTCTAGACCTATTAATTTTAAATAAAAGATACATCACCAGGAATTCTGGTAAATATATAAATTTGTGGACTGTATATTAAATTAATAAAGGATTATATATATACACATATACATAACAGAAGGAGAATATATCTTAATAACACTCACCAATTTGACAGGAGATTAAGGTGTATCATACTCAGAAAACCTCACTGTCTACATTTATGATAATAATACTGGCCAGAACTATTTTGGAAAATTACATTTATCTGAATGTATCATTATGTACATAACAGTAAATGAACAAAGATAATTATTATTTATCAGTTAGACAAGTAGGAATTTGGGACACCTAGGTCGCAAAAAATGTCCCCCTTCAATACCACTGTCATATCCACAAGTTGCTCTGGACCTATTAATTATAAATGAAATATACATACACCAGGAATTCTGGTAAATAAATAAATTTGTGGACTGTACATTAAAATTAAAAAATTATTATATATAAACACATTTACATAACAGAAGGAAAATATCTTAATATCACTCACCAATTTGACTGGAGATTAATGTATCATGTACAGCCCCCCCCCCCCCGCCTTTTGCCTACATTTATGAAAAATTTACTGGCCAGAATTTAAACATAAATCAGACAGCTTATCTGAGGTTCCTGGAGTTGTCCTGTCCTGTCGCCTGATACTCAAATTATGCAGGAATGCACATCCAACAATTTCGGCTCCTATTTGAGAGGTGTCAGCCCAATTTTAACCTCTAGAGCACGAAAATTCTTCCGATTTCACTAACTCTGTTGACCAGTTCAAACAACAATGGCGACTGTCTTCTGCACGGACGCAGGCTCAGTTTCCCATTTTCTATGACATAAATATTATTAAATACAGTATGGCCATCTATTTACATATAACTACTGTATTTCTGGAAAATATATACAGTATTTTCCACAACTATAAACATAATATAGACATGACTTAGCTGGGGTTTCTGGAGTTGTCTTGTCCAGTCGCCTGATATCTCAAGTTATGCAGGAATGCACATCCAACAATTTTGCCTCCTATTTGAGAGGTGTCAACCCAATTTTACCTCTAGAGCACGAAAATTCTTCCGATTTCACTAACTTTCTGTTGATCAGCTCAAACAGCAATGGCGAGTCCCTTCTGCGCAGGCGCAGTTTCCCATTTTCGATAATATAATTTTTATTAAATACAATATAGGCCATCTATTTACCTATAAATTACCGTATTTCCGGAAAATATACAGTATTTTCCACATTATGGATAAGGTAGATTATAATGGAAAAATGAACATGTTATTAGAAGACGAGGGAACTTACCTGCCTCTTAACCACGGCTTCATAAAGCCAACACTCACTATTCTGTCTTATACCACAGCTGCTTGAACAACATGACATCATAAGTAGAGAGAAACAATATAGGTTAGCCTACTGGACCATACTAGGCAGGTCCTTCTTACCACCAGCCGTTCCCACTCGTGTATTTATATATTTTCTGTTACCACACCACACATGAGTAAGACTCAATCTTCTCTTTTACCACAACAAAGCAACACATTGATACCTTGGACCTCAAGCCAGTGACCATATTTGTTACTGCAAGAGAGAGACTGGAGGAATCACAGTTTGGATTACCATTATTTAGATGTATTAGCCTCTCGTATTAGTTGGCTTTGCGGTGTCTAGAAACAATAGTATTTCTATTTCTAAGCCTAGTTTCATCCGAGGCGTCATTGAAACTGTTTAATACCTTAGTGGTATGTGCATGGGTCATGAAAAATTGTTTTAGTAAGTTTATCTAGACACAGATACACTGGCGTACAATTATCATACATAGGAACATGTGTGAATTACCTAAGATAACCCAAAAAAAGTCAGACAAAGTGACTTATTTCCATTGGGATCCTTATTTTCAAAAACTTTTTTTTTATCATTTTCAGCGTGAACATTTCGCCAACACCCTATACATACATACATACATACAATCATATATATATATATATATATATATATAATATATATATATATAATATATATATATATATATATATATATATAATATATATATATATAATATATATATACACTCCAGGTATATATATTAATCAATATCAATATACAAATTTAGCAGTCCTGAAAAAAAAAAAGTTTAAAAATCTGTAGGTACAGAGAGCAACCAACCTGCATCATGGTGAGTGTATAACCAAGCTTCTTGTTCCAGGTAATTCCTGAGACCTGTCTAATTCTAATTCTATTTGGTCGAGGTATTTATCCTGGGGATGAGAGGAGGAGCCTCTGAGTTGCCACAGTCGACAGATGATTTACAATTTTAAGCTTTAAAGTGAGTTCCTGTTTGAACATAAGAACATAAGAACGAAGGAACACTGCAGCAGGCCTACTGGCCCATGCGAGGCAGGTCCAAGTCTCCTACCGGCTTAAGCCAATGCACCCAACCTAGTCAGGTCAGGTCACATTGACTTAAGGGAGGAACACGGCAACCGACCTGGTAGCACAAGCTATCAGGTCCAACTCACACCCACCCACATCCACTCATGTATTTATCCAACCTATTTTTAAAGCTACACAACGTTCTGGCCTCTATAACTGTACTTGGGAGTTTTTTTCCACTCATCCACAACTCTATTACCAAACCATACTTTCCTAATCCTTCCCGAACTGAATTTTTTCCAACTTAAAAACCCTTGCTGCGAGCCTGTCTAGGCTAATATTTTTTACACACTATTTACTCCCCTTTATTTATTCCTATCTTCCCTTTTTTACCCTCAATCATTCCCACCTAATTCTACGTCTTTCTAAGATGCAATTCAAAGGGCCCCTTGTCTAAAACCCCATAGGGAAGGTTTCAGATACATGGGGTCAACTTTTTTCATCCTCCTTTTTTAATTTCCAGAGCATTTTTATCCAATCTTAAACGGTGACCAAAACGGGGCGCATAATCAAAAGAGGCCCAACCAAGGGGTTTTAGAGTTGAAAAACAACCTGAGGTCCTATTATTTATCTTTTTGATTGAAGCCAAGGGTTCTATTTCTTTATTGCGAACACTTATCACTGTTGCTTGGTTTTTAGATTTCTTCTAACCAGAACTCCTAAAACTTTTTTTGCAACCGTAATATTTTAAAATCTACATTTTTTTTTTATTTTTAAAGTGGCAGGTTTTTGTCCTGTCCAACTTTTAAAATTTGCATTTGTCTATATTAAACTGCATCTGCCACTTTTCCGACCACTTCATCAGTCTATTCAAATCTTCCTGGAGTGCTCTAATGTCCTCTTGAGAATAAATTCGACGGCCTATTTTGGTGTCATCGGCAAACTTGGTGATGTCGCTCTTTATGCCCTCATCTATGTCGTTTATGTAGATTGTGAACAGCAGGTGGCCCAACACTGACCCCTGTGGAACACCGCTCGTGACGCTTCCCCACTCTGATTTCTCCCCATTTATGCAAACTCTCTGCTGCCTATTTGTCAACCATGCCTCTATCCAGGAAAAAATTTCTCCTATTCCATGTGCCTTAATTTTCCTCAATAGTCTCTGATGTGAGACCCTGTCAAAAGCCTTACTGAAGTCCATATACACAATATTATATTCATTACCATGATCTACCTCCTCAAATACCTTAGTGAAAAAAGTTAATAAATTCGTAAGGCAGGAACGCCCCTTTGTAAAACCATGCTGAGATTCGTTAATTAATTTATGCTTTTCAAGGTGGCTACGAACTGCCTCGGCAATTATTGATTCCATAAATTTTCCCACCTCAATTACTGGGAGCGCTTGAGGTTCCTAAACCAGTATTCCCTGGAACGCAGGAGGGAGAGATACATGATTATATACACCTGGAAAATCCTAGAGGGACTAGTACCGAACTTGCACACGAAAATCACTCACTACGAAAGCAAAAGACTTGGCAGACGATGCACCATCCCCCCAATGAAAAGCAGGGGTGTCACTAGCACGTTAAGAGACCATACAATAAGTGTCAGGGGCCCGAGACTGTTCAACTGTCTCCCAGCATACATAAGGGGGATTACCAACAGACCCCTGGCAGTCTTCAAGCTGGCACTGGACAAGCACCTAAAGTCAGTTCCTGATCAGCCGGGCTGTGGCTCGTACATTGGTTTGCGTGCAGCCAGCAGCAACAGCCTGGCTGATCAGGCTCTGATCCACCAGGAGGCCTGGTCACAGACCGGGCCGCGGGGGCGTTGACCCCCGGAACTCTCTCCAGGTAAACTATGGAGGTTAGGCTTATTGGTCTATAGTTCGAAGCTAAGGACCTGTCACCTGCTTTGAAAATAGGTATCACATTTGCCATTTTCCACTTATCTGGCACCATGCCAGTTTGTAGTGATATGTTGAAAAGATTAGCCAAAGGTTTGCTAAGCTCCTCTTTACATTCCTTTAGAACCCTTGCATACAGTTCATCATGGCCTGGGGATTTGTTAGGTTTTAATTTATCTATTTGCCTAAGGACCATGTCACTTGTGACCCTAATCGTGCAGTTTATTATCGTCCTGTTCTACTAATTTATCATTATCTGGAAATCGTGGATCTCCCTGATGTAAACTGAGAGGAAGTATGTGTTAAAATTCTACATTTCCTTATCACTGTCAGTGAGCTGACCCGAGGAACTTGAGTGGGCCTATCTTGTCCCTGATTCTTACTTCTGTATACCTGAAAGAATCATTTTGGGTTAGTCTTTCGATTCTCTTGCAACTTTAACCATCATATACTACTTTTTGCTTTTCTAATTCCTCTTTATTATTTCTCTCTTTAACTGAATATAATCGATTTCTTAATTGCCCCTCTCCTCTTTTGATTTGCCTATATATGCCTCTCTTTTGACCAATCAGATATTTTAATCTATTGTTCATCCATTTAGGATAATTTTTGTTGATCTGATTTCCCTATTTGAACATAATTTGACCTGAGCAGCTAGAAAATATGCCCTGGAAAGCGTCATATCGGCAACCATCGCACCTACCTGACCCTTAGTCAGGTCATTCCAGTTCAGCCCACCTAAGTAATTTTTCAGTCCTATGAAACAGCCAAGCTTAAGTCAGGGACAGAGACTTGATTGCCATTATTAGGGGAATTCCATGATATATTAAAACTGACTGATTTGTGATCACTTTTCCCGAGCTCATCATTAACCTCAGATTATTAATTAGTGTTTCCTACTGGCAAGAACCAAGTCAAGGAGGTTATTTCCCCTAGTTGGCTCTGTCACAAACTGTTTTAAAAAACAATCCTGGATCGTATCAAGAAAGTCACCTGACTCTAAATTTCCTGTCAAATTGCTCCAGTCAATCTGTCTATAGTTGAAATCTCCCATTACACAACATTTTCGTATGTAGAATGCCTATTACGAATTTCGTCCCATAGAAGTTTACTGCACTCCCTGTCAAGATTTGGGGCCCTGTAAATCACACCCAAAATTAGTTTTTCACGGCCCTCGAGAAGCTGTAACCAAACAGATTCAGTGGCTGACGCTTCTAATTTAATATCTTGTCTAACACAACAATTTAAATTGTCTCTGACATACATCGCTACTCCACCACCCTTCCTGTTGACCCTGTCAGTGTGGAATAATTTATAGCCTTGTATGTGACATTCAGAGGGCATATCTCTATCTTTTAGATTGAGCCAGGTCTCTGTTATAGCAATAATATCTATGTTTCCTGCACTTGCAATTAATCTTACCTCATAATTTTGTAATATTTTAAACTTAAGATTTAATTTAAGTCTGCCCGAAATGCCTAGCCATGCTAGGTGTTCTAGTGGTACACTCTGTAATTATTATTTTACTACATGTAAACAATACAATAACCAAATTCTGTAAACTCAGCATTGTAATCCTTATAGAGAATAAACTTTGAATTTGAATTTGAATTTGAATCTATATTATTTATTACACTACTGCTATTAGTATAGTAAACCTTAAGGGAGCTAGTCCCTTGCTGCCCTCTGCTCTCCCCCTTTGTTTGCTCACCTTATCCATTGTCTTATATTATTTACACTGCCCAATTAATATGCTCCAATAGGCCCAATATCTAAATAAATAAATCTAAATAAACTGAAAGTAAATGGTTGGTTAGTTATGGGGTTTATAAACCCTGTCGACTACATTAGGGATTAAACAAATAATACTTTTTGGGGTTATCCTAGGTAATTTATACATCTAATACTAATAATATTTACTACCAGTACATGTACAAGGTATACAGACCATAGTTGACATCAGTGATATACTACTATATAAAAAGTCGCTTGTTATGCTGAGCATTTCCCGCAAATTAGGTCAATTTTGTCCCAGGATGCGACCCACACCAGTCCACTAACATCCAGGATGTGACCCACACCAGTCCACTAACACCCAGGATGCGACCCACACTAGTCCACTAACACCCAGGATGCGACCCACACTAGTCCACTAACACCCAGGATGTGACCCACACCAGTCCACTAACACCCAGGATGCGACCCACACTAGTCCACTAACACTCAGGATGTGACCCACACCAGTCAACTAACACCCAGGATGTGACCCACACCAGTCCACTAACACCCAGGATGCGACCCACACTAGTCCACTAACACTCAGGATGTGACCCACACCAGTCAATTAACACCCAGATTGTGACCCACACCAGTCCACTAACACCCAGGATGCGACCCACACCAGTCCACTAACACCCAGGATGTGACCCACACCAGTCCACTAACACCCAGGATGTGACCCACACTAGTCCACTAACACCCAGGATGTGACCCACACCAGTCCATAAAACCCAGGATGTGACCCACACCAGTCCACTAACACCCAGGATGCGACCACAATAGGTCCACTAACACCCAGGATGCGACCCACACCAGTCCACTAACACCCAGGATGCGACCCACACTAGTCCACTAACACCCAGGATGCGACACACACCAGTCCACTAACACCCAAGATGAGACCCACACTAGTCCACTAACACCCAGGATGTGACCCACACCAGTCCACTAACACCCAGGATGCGACCCACAACAGTCCACTAACACCCAGGATGCGACCCACACCAGTCCACTAACACCCAGGATGCGACCCACACCAGTCCATTAACACCCAGGATGCGACCCACACCAGTCCACTAAGACCCAGGATGAGACCCACACTAGTCCACTAACACCCAGGATGTGACCCACACCAGTCCACTAACACCCAGGATGCGACCCACAACAGTCCACTAACACCCAGGATGCGACCCACACCAGTCCACTAACACCCAGGATGCGACCCACACCAGTCCACTAACACCCAGGATGCG